CCCCCCCCCCCCCCCCCCCCCCCCCCCCCCCGGGTTGGTAGATGAGCCAGGCTTGCAATGGGAATCAATTCTGACACACCCCTGAACCTATGGCATTGTGTGGACGGGCAAGGAAATGGCTTTTTCAAGGCAGGAACTGCTAAGTATTTCTGCTGGGTGCTTGAAGGAACGGTCTGTGTTCTCACTGGAGGTGTAGAGGTCTGTAAACTGAGATTATGTCACAATGACATCACCTGTGGGGATGATGGCTAGAATCATGTCATGACTCTGACTTTACATCCTGATGCGATTACAAGTAGTCCTTGACTTACAACCATAATTGGGACAGGAACCTCTGTTGCTAAGCGATGTAGTTGTTGAGTCATGCCCGATTTTACCACCTTTTTTGCCACAGTCATTAAGCGAATCACACGGTAATTAAGTGAATCTGGCTTCCCCCATTGATTTTGCTTGTCGAAAGCTCCCCGGGAAGGTCACCAATGGTGATCATGTGACCCAGGATGCTGCGGCTGTCATAGATACATGCTGGTTGCCAAGTACCCAAATTTTGATCATGTGACTGCGGGGATGCTGCTACACTCATAAGTGCAAGGACCGGTCTTAAGTCACTTTTTTCAGTGCTGTCATAACCTCGCACGGTCATTAAACAAATGGTTGTAAGTCAAGGACTACCTGTATCTAAGCTGCTAGCTTTGCATCTCAATGTCATGGTGCACATGTGGTTGCTCATCTCCACCATGGACATTAGTGATGGGATCCCATCATGTACCTATCCTGGCTTGCTTGCTTGATTTATCTATGGGATCCATAGGCCACCCCCAATCTGTGAAAATGCCAGGTGGCTTGCAAAATGCAACAATAAACATATTATCAAAATGCAAAACTCATCCAAAGTCCAGGGCAAAGTAAATCATTTAAGCAGTCATTTAAAAGCCAGATTAGATTAGCCATGATTGGATCAAGGAGTCTAAAGGTAGGACCTCTGGTCGATCAGGATCAGGAGTTTGGAAGGCAGTGGATTTGCCCACCATGGCAAGTACAGAAATCCATTCTTATTTTCGTGAAGAAGGATAAGAGAACTCATCTCAAACCCTGGTACAAGAAAACACTAAGTTAAACTGGATTCAGCAGCAGAGGTATCTCTTAGAGGGTCAAAAAAGTCAAGATAGAGGCCCTCAGTAACCTTAAGTTGGGAGACAATGAGAATGAATGGTTATTTATGGATTATCTGCTAAGGATAATTGTCTATAGAAAAATTACTGAGGTGGATCACACAATTACTTCTTTTTCTGCACATCATTTTCCACCCTCACTCACATATTTGCCCAGCCATTCCTCTCAGCAAACTGTTGTTATTAGAATTCTGGGCCCCCACAGCCCTTGACTTGTAATCTGCTGAGCCCCCCAACAAAAAAAGCTCCCCAGAGAGCAGGCTGAAATTTTCAGATTTTAGGGTTTTTTCAGGGTACTTAGAAAGATGTGGGTCACAATGGGTGTGTTACGCGCCCCTGAAAACCTCAAACTCCAGCAAAATCTGGCTTTTTTCTTTCCCCATTTTGTGCAAGGTTAAGAGGCTGAATGTACCCATTTCATCTTTTCAAATTCTGCCAAAGCTTTAGCCCAGCCTGCTGCAGGTGTCTTCTGGGGCTTCAGAAGGGAACTCTGGGAAACATAGGCCGCCCTCAACTATCCAGACCACTGTAGGAGTTCTTCATGGTTACTTCATGTTGCTCCAATCAATCTTCACATAGGACAAGTCTGAAAAGGTCTCAATCTTTTGATCCAAGACTCAGCTATTTTCTGGACCATTCATCATCCATGGTGGCTCCAGGCTGCAGAAAGACACGCAGCCCAGGGTAGTGGGACCCCCTGTAATGCTTACCTCCGAAGTAATAACTTGGGGTGATTTTTGCTTTCCAGGTTCTTGTCGATGAGGTCGGCAAGGAGTTGCTTGAGGACATCAGTGGCGTACTCTAGCTTGCTCTGCAGCACGGTCATAATGAGGGACGCCACGTTGCCACGGTCTCGCATGGAAAAGCTGCGCTGAGACTCCAGGGTGCGGATGAAGGAGAGAAGGAAGGCCTTGTTGTTGATGAGCTGGGCAAAAAGCTTGAGGCCTTTCTCTACTCGTTCTTGCCGATATCCAGGAACCTGTCCAAAATAGAGAGGATCCAAAACTACGTATCCCATGAAAGTTTCTACTAGAAGTCTCTTCTCCTAGCCAGGACTCCTCAAGGATGTTGGATTTCAAGCCCCAGGATGTTTATGCAAACCCACTTAATTTATACTTCCCAAACATACACACCAAGGATATATATACAAAACATATACGCAATGTCTGTTGCACTAGGCATCGTGTAATGTATGGCAGGTCAGGGGTTCTGCAAAATAAATCATGGGGCACGTTGCCAGGTTCTTCAACTGCTGTCTAAAACTGAAAATGGTTCTCTTTAGCAAGATTTATTAAGGTGGAGGGACAGGTTTACAAGAATTTCAGCAGCTGAATTTCATTTGCTAATTTGATTACGTACCATCAAGTCAGTGTCAACTCTTAGAAAGTCCTCCTCCAGGATAATCAGCCCCCAACTTGGTCCTTAGGTGCACTCATTGCCACTATAATTGAGTCTATCCACCATGTCACTGGTTGTGTTATCAGTTTAGAACCAATATATTCCAGTGTATGTGAAGGTCTAGATTTTCTGATTTTCTTTCTAACCACTTTGCTATGTTTTGGTGAAGAGGAAGGTCTCTTCACTGATAACAGGGGAGTTTGCAGTTAACTTTAAACAAAGTCTCCAACCCTTTATTAATCTGGGAATCAGCTCTTACACAATCCAGGAGCTCTACTCCAGAAGTTTTTCATTTTGTATGTCAAGGGCTGGACTTCTGAAGTGGCAGATACCCGTTTTATTCCTTAAATTTCCCATATTTTATCTGATTGAAAGGTTCATTTTGATAAGATGTGCAAAATTTCACTGAATCTCCAGACCCATTCAGATTTGATCTGAAGGGTCAAACTGCCATGGCAACTTGCTTTGAAAGGGGAGTCCAATCTTCAAATCTTCAAAGCTGTGCAAAGTCTTATTAAAACAGTAAGAGTTCTTCTCTCATAAAATTTATCTTTTTAAGATTATGGAAAGAGCATACAAATTCTGCACTACCACATAAGAAGAGGTTCTACTTAGCAATTTGTTAGAAGTCCATGGAGTTTTAAAGAAACATTTTTCTAGGCACCGACAAATCTGATTTTCCTTCATTTCTTAGTTTCACTCAGTTGGAAAAAAAAAAAAGAAAATTATCACTAAAATTAATACAAAAATCAGTGTGAATTTTTGTCCGCATTTCTTCAACATATGCCTATCTGCGTACCTTTTTACTTAATGTGGGCATTTTGAGTTTTTTTGTTGTAAGTATAAAGTTCATTCTAAAATTTGCCAAGCATTTTCAAGCATTCTCCAGTGTCCTTATAGCCTTGACATGGACAGTTGAATATGTCCATCTGAAGGTTCAACCCAAACCAACCAACCAACCAACCAACCTTCCTTCCTTCCTTCCTTCCTTCCTTCCTTCCTTCCTTCCTTCCTTCCTTCC